CCCCAAAACCCCAAAACCCCAAAACCCCATAGTGAAAATAAATTGATTTCAAAGAGATATTATTAAATTAAGATTAGGTATTATAGTCTTATCACCTCATAAATTTTATCCTTGTATTTGGCTTTTTGACCTTAATACCTCTTATCCATTCTATAAATATCTTAGATTAAATGTTCTTTTGTTCCAATCAGAGGGCTCCATATATGGCAGTTTTTCATAATGGCCTGGTCCAGGTAGTTTAGTCTACTTTTTTTCCATTATCTTGTCTTAGAATCTATCACTTCTATTAAAATTAGACTACTTTGGAATTTTCTTAGCTGAGTCGACAAAAGAGTCATTTTGAGAAGGAGAGTATGCACCTGGACCTAAATTGCTGTAGTTTTCAATAGTAGACGTATTGGTGCCTATCTTAGATTGATTAAAAGTGGATCTTTCAAAGTTTTTTTCTGCTTACTTCTATACTGCTCTCTTAAGAATAAGAATATTATTGGGAGCACCACCCTAAAGTTGATTATAAGAAGTTCCTTTATAGTGTTACAAGTTGTAATCCTAAGCAGAAGGTATTGAAGGATCTGGTACCAAAAACGGATCAATAGTTCTTTTAGTCCCAGATTTAAAATTTGCCTAGATCTACTTATATTTAGCCTATGTCTGCTCCTAATTGTACTAACCTGGCCCTGGAGTTTCAGTTTCTTGAAAAACTGCTATTTTCCTTCCATCAGACGACCCAAATGCTGCTTAATATTGCTTGTAAAAGTCTTTCTTTTTTGAGAAAGCGTTATCCTTTGTATCATATTTACCTGGACCAGGTTTAAAAAATTATTCTTTATTAATATCAAAGACTCTTCTTATCTCTTGAAAATGAGCTCTGATCTCATCAGTATTACTCTAGTGTTTTGAAGTATCAACGAATGCTTTCCTCAAGTTATAGGTACCAGGACCTACTTGTTTAGGGGTTCCTTTAACTGGGTCATCTCCTTGGAAAATAGACTTCTTAAATCTATCCTCTGAGCTGCCAAAGTATTGATGTCTTTATTCTTTGAACTCCTTCTTTATAGATGAAAATTTCTAAGCGTTATAATAATGCCCTGGTCCTGGTGACGCTTACTTTTATTTATCATCATCTGATTCCTCTAATTCTGAATCTTCAGAGTGCTTAACTTAATCCACAAATTTCTTATGAAACTCTCCAATACTAAATGGCCTGCGTGAGCCAAATCTTCTTGGACTTCTCATATTGTGGTACATTTTCTTATCATTATTACTTTCAACTATCATTGAAAGATTATTTTAATACTGCTACTAATAAAGTATTTTATCATCCTCAATTAAAGGTCTCTCTTCAATTATCTATGTTTGATTCATATTTTATTTATTGTTTAATTTTTAGGCATCTATTTATTTCTGAAGTTCAAAAGGTAGCTTTCTCTCTATTTTAGATTTACTCCAAGTAGTTGCTGCTCCAGTATTCTTCGAAGCGAATACAGGATCATACGTTCCTGGTCCTAACAATTTCTAGTAATTTTTCTAATCTTCAAATGCTTTGACTTAAGCCATCATTACAGATGTTTAAACTGTTATATTAGGACTTACATCTCTGGAGTAGGTATTTAAAGTACCTGATTGGTTTGGTGACTTATCTTGAGGATAATTGTTAATTTACGAATATTTTTTCTCTACTTAAATCAAATCAACATTTGATCTGATTGATGGTACTGAGGTAAGTTTTACTATGTCTGAATGTCCATGATTAATCAAGCTTGGACTTTTGAAAACAGAACTTGTAATCTTGTGACTATTTCTATGCTTAATGAAACTTTTACTTTTTTAATTCTGATCAAAGCTAGTCTGAGCGTTTCTTGGAGAGTAGGCTCCTGGACCAGGAACTGTTTTATCTATATTTTTAAGTACAACTTCAAAGCCTTTTTTTGTTTTATCAGCTGATAGCCATTGTTACTTTTGTTTCTGAGTTCCATTTTTAACAACAAAATATACTCCTTCCTTGTCACCAACATTAACAATTAGTGAACTGTCAAAAGAGCTATTAGCCAAATTTATTTCATATTATCCTGGACCAGGAGTATATTAATGTTAAGGGATATAGCTATGTATGTTAGTTGAATTGTTACTCATCCCAGAGCCTTTTCCAAATGGAGGAGATTTAATGGCTTTTATCTTTTTTTCCAATAGTTATTATGAAACTGAAGGTTCATACATCCCAGGGGATAGATCTGGATTATGCTTTACTAAGAATTGAATAACATCTCTTTCAGAATAGTTGGTGATTGCCATTATTGATTTTCTATATATTTTATTTCTATTCTCTTAATAGACTATTCATCCACCATGGGGTTTTGGGGTTTTGGGGTTTTGGGG